GTGGTGTCTGGGTTGTTGTCAGAGGGTGCATATGTTCATGTCTAAGATGCCCGCACATAGATGTGCCCGAGTTAGAACAGACCCAAAGATTCCTCACCAGAAAAGCAAAGCGGAGGGTGACATCTCCCAATCGGGGGATAGTCGGAGACCCCGCTGGAGCAAACCACCTGCACTTTCTGGACACAGGAACCGAAGAAATAAACCATAGTGTATCATACAGTACGAGTACTTGTGCCCGAGTACAAATATGGTGAAGAACCTGTGCATACTTGAGCGCCAATACCCTATTTTCAGGTACCGATGGAAGGGTCGGGCATTTAGCCATTGTGCTGTGACAAGGATTCTAGACGTTTGTTTGGACAAAATGTTAGTACCAGGGAAACGGGATAGGTGTGCTGCAAAAAGGGTTTTCATTGGCAATACTTGTACTTGTACTAGTACAGTACTCGAGTAAATTACCGTGAAGTACCATTGGAATTGTTGGCATTCCTGTTATAGTACTGTACCATGACTAAATTCCTGACCATACACCCTTGTACTGTACGGGCACCCACACCTGGGACAAGGGCTGCAGGCAAGGTTGAGGGGACACCTCGCTCCCACTTACCGGTGCGCCAAGCGTTGACCCTGAATCCTCCACCCAAGATCGGCCTTGTGAGCCCACCCCGAATACCCGGTGTATCGGTACTTGTACGTACTGGAGGAATTGGTCTTAATCCGAAAAGTAGGCCCGAGACCACAGGGGCCCAGTAATATAGATTCCTAAGAATGCGTCGAAGTTATCGCATATAAGACTCGGTAAACTTCAAATAACAGAGAATGCTACTCTCGGCATTGCGGGCTGGAGCGCTACTCTACCGCAGAGTGAGAGTGCAAATTCTAAGCAGAAAGGTACGGTGGACACTGAAAAGGGGGAAATCGCCATCACCATAAGATATAGGATGAGATCAGGGGGTACTGAGATGATCACGTCTATTACTAACTGTGCCGAACGTACAAAGAAACCCTCACGGGCACCGCCATTTTCTCACCACTCTACCGCCGTGCGGAACCCACCCATCGCCGAGTGGGACTGCATGACTTCTTACACCCTCAAATAGGGGATTAGCGCTAGCAAAAAAGGGAAGGCCATTGCATTGTATCTGTCCAGGCCAAAAGTACCCGAAAACAGGGATTAAAGAAATACCGGTATAGTAAAATATCTGTGCGTATCCCAGAGCCCATACAAAATACCGGTATCCTTGTATTACACCCCCTGCTTCCGGGTACTTATGACCTACTAGTAGGACAAGTACTGGTACATCATTGCTTACCCCGAGCACCGCGGGAGGCTGGTTGATGACATCAATCACATACCTCGGCTGCGGCGCCTATACGAGTACCGTACTCGTACCGGTAACATGATGATGTGCCAGATAGAGACCGAGCTATCATCCTTCGCACTCTTATATCTGATATCGGCACTTCCAGTCAGTAGAGACACCTCTAGATTTCAACAGCGCACAGCCACCATGACCGGTGGAAAAAAAAGGACAAATACCTCAAGAACTGGAAAAATCGAACTCACGCTAAGATGTCTAGATCACCCTCTTTTGATAGAGGGGGGAGCTATCATACCAAAGGAAACCGGGATTCAGCCCTCCAATGAGAGAAAAAAAAGGCAAATACAACAGACCTTATCATCCAAATAGGAGATTCAACCATTTCGGCTCTTTGCAGTAGTTCGATCTAATGATACTCGTACTAGTACCGTACTTGTAGTACTATAGAACCTCCCTATCCCGGTAACCACCTAGGACCCCGGTCTGCATCATGGAACCCAGTTGGACATCACCCGGCATCTACCAGGGGTTCGGGTAGGTCTAACGGCTTGCCCCTCATTCATTTGATAGACGAATCGAGGGGGTCCGAGAGCAGAATTTAGTTCCAGCCAGTGAGGCGAAAGTTGGACATCCTTTTTTTCTGTTACCAAAAATTAGGGTGGATGGTTCGTTCAAGCACATATTTCAGGTCACACACACTTAAATTTGCGAGCCAGAGCCGATGTCCGCGAGAGGAGCGACGAGGGTTGGCTTACAGCAATGTGCTAGAGGCACACGGCTCCCGGCGTCAGCAGATCCTACTCGTACAACAGCCCCCCAGGCTGCACCCGGACATTTACCCCGACTGCCAAAATCACCCAAGGTCCTGCCCTCCAACACACGTGTACCTACAAATGTACCCCCGATCTCTCGCAACCCCCGGAGGAAACCCGCCGCAGCCTTCCATCCATCCGACTCCTGCGCTCAATGTATTCCAAGCAGACATCTACATAAATCGCCCCCCGCATTGCGCTGCACCCGTCTGTGGACACTTAGAAGGGCGGTAACAGCATAAAAATGAATTGACGTCTGTTTAAGCGCCCGGTGAGAATTTACGGTTCTCACGTCTGTCTCTGCAAATAGGGGTCTCCTACAGGGACCGTTCCAAACAAGCATTTGGTGAAAAGAAACCTAGTCGTCGGTCAGCTTACCGTGCTAGTAGAGTTCCAGAAGAAAACACGTACAAGTATCCTGACGCCTGGCAAGCCACTTGGCTCGAGTGTTGACAATAGCTTATTTGTTCTACCGGTAGTACAAGTACCGTATTCTTCAGAGGGGAACTTTTAGGGCGCCCTGGGTGAACGCTGTTGCGGGATCGGGCCCCGAAACAAATAAATGAACCCTAGGGAGATTTGAGCTCCTTTTCGCAACCTTCGGGGGATCTACTATCATAATACTCGTACAGCGCTATGGTATGATACTCAACCTATCATTCTTGCGGCCTGCCAGTCGTGAAGACAGCCAGGAGATAAAACCACTCTTGCGATGGTGCGCGGAATGGACTTTATCCTCCAGCTAGCTAACCGGATGCTATCGCCGGTATTACCACATTAGAGGGGCCCCATGATTCATCCCTTAGTCGCTCATCCCATGCTGGCTCCTCTCTTAGGTCCACCCACGGCTAGATTGATTGACTGGTTTGATTTGTTGACTGGGTGATGGTATCTTATTATTATAAATCATTTCTACTGGAACACACATGTAGCTCACATCATGCACTGTGCTTTCCACGGTACCGTACCTGTTGGTTCTGGATTGGTCGGTTGGTTTGGCGTGGTTCGAGTCTTTCCTATTTGTGGCTCTGGTGCTGTTTCGTGCGCCCCAGCCGAACAGCCGCAAAGCTCCCGCCTTGGTAAATTACACGAGTACCGTATTGCAGAAAGATCCCCCTTCCCCTCATCCCTAGCAGCGCTCGAGTGCGGAAGGCTGCAGCCACCGCAACAACCTGACCTTGCGCCGTGATGATTTGTTGTGATGCTTAGGAAATTCGCTACATCAGCGTAGGCGAGATCTAGTGATGTCTGGAGCGATATCGTAGCGTGTTTATAGAGCACGGGTATGATATCTTTCTTTATGAATGGACGAACTCGATATCTTCCGTTAACCTGCCTCTGCCGAATCACCGGCGCTGACTTCAATAGCATCGGAGGAAAGCCTTGCATTTCACATTTCAAGAGGTATTGGAGGTAGCACAAAATATATCTAGTCAGGTTTCAATTTAGAAACTCCCAGGAGCCGCGATGGCTTGTACCACATCCCGAGAAGGATTGGATGAGATGGAGAGAGGGGGAAGAAAAAAATCAATTGGGCCCCTCCGCCTGCATGCAAATCACCTTCAACTTCCCCCCCTCTCCTCCCACCGAACAAGAGGATGGAGAAATCTCGAATTGGACCACCCAGGATCCCGAGGGTTATGCGGATCTCACGTGTATTTAATTAATGCGCTTCACCCTTAGAGATTATTCTACTTTCGTTAGCCTCTGCTGGATCGGGAACCAAGGGGTTTAATGAATCCCAAAATGGAAGTGCTGTTTCTGCAAGCACAGGTACCATTGACCTGCTTGCTTCTGCTCGGATATGATACACTGGCAGGTGCTCGGGTGCTGTATACTTTCAAATACGCCCTGCGAAGGGCCTGCCCAATTGCATCTCGCTACCGTATCTGTTAAAGCGTGGGTTTTGCCAGCTGTCAGCAAAGGGAAAAACCCGCACTTTAGACAAATCTGGTCCGGTTGCGAAAGGCAATCGGGAGAGCCGCAGTAGGGGGAATCCGACATTTACTGAGTGCCCACAGGCACCCTGATCTCCCCTACCACCTATACCCCGGTACCATAGTAAACATAGCATCACATTTCTCCTTGACACCGCTGCGAGTATGAACGTGAGCGCCAACAATCATGAAACGGAAAGGAATCGTTGAACAAAGCCACAAGGTGTTCGACATCGCGAAGCCGGATGAGATGGATGTCAAGGCCATTGCATGATGAAGTAAGATGGAATTGGACTAGGACTAGCCAGCACCCGAATATTGATTGAAGAACCTACCCAAGAGTAAGTAAATGTTACGCTGGGTTGGGAAATATAAAAAGATCTACGATAACATCAAATCTACACATCTACTAACAGACGGGTGAACTGTCAGTGTCAATGTACAAGGCTGGCCGCCGCCTGATACATGACGATGCCGAGAATCGGTGATTGGACGCCTTTGTAGCCCGTGCGATTCAAGACATCGTAACTTGGCTGGAATGGAGTACGGTACGGTACACATATGCCTTAGGAGCCCGAAATTCCCCTCTTGAATGGCGGGGCGCGGGCACTGCAAAGTCTGACACCCTCAACCCGAGCTTAAGACAATAGAGCAAACCAGAATCAGACCTTAGAGCGGGTGCGACTCCAAAGTCCTAGTGCGGGGTTGATTGTATAGGTTCTTACGCTAGCAAAGAACAACAAGACTCGCCTAGCTCCCCCCCAGCCGCAGCTACTGGATATTACTTGAACTCCCTGCTCTGTTTTAGTCCCCTTATACTTGCGGCTTCCCGTTTTGGAACTGCGCACGGTTTATCCCCACCCTCGGAGAACCCATACATAGTCAGTTGGAAATCCTTCCTTTTTTCTTCTCCCCAACTTTCATTCTCCCAAGTGTCTGGATTTCCCTCCTCCTCTTTCTCGTCTTTTTTTTCCTAGTTTTTTTTTTGTCTTTTCCGTCTGGCTAGTTTTGTGGATATATCGTCTACCCCAACACTACGGTACGGTACTTATAACATAGCTCGCCCTGGAAGCCTAACCCGCCCGAGCACTGACGACTCGGCATTCCTCGATCTTTACTGCTACTGCTGCTACCGCTCTTCTTCAAGGGCCAAGCTTTGAAATGTCGAACCAACCTAACGGTCATGGCCTGGGTATCGGTGGTCGTCTGAGTGACCATCAGAATGGAGAACCAAATGGACATCACCCCAGCCCTTCAGCGGCCACGGAGAAGGTGTCTCCTGTCGCTCCTGCCGTTCCTGGGGCTAGAGGAGTCGTACCACCTCCCGCTACCTCAGTTCGCTCAGAAGATAAACGCGCGGGAGGCGTGGATGATTATTTTGTATGCCCTCTTGGTAAAGACTGGTAGGACTTCAATGCTAACATGGAGAGTGTAGTCTGGGCCATTGGATCCCACAAAACACTCTAAATTCCCGTATTTCATGAGGTTGCACGGAAGCATTCTGCCGAGCCTCGTGATACCAATTCTTTTTGTGGCGATTTGGGCAACCGTTATCACTATCCTCAATGAAAAAGTTCACCGGCGTAAGTTTCCGTCCGATTTGTGGGTTGGTGCTATGTGCTAATTGTTGTAGTTGCTGTTGATTCCCTCTTGCTGACCGTATTGGGTTTTGTGGTCGGTTTGTCGTTATCCTTCAGATCGTCAACAGCATATGAGAGGTATGCTGAGGGGAGAAAATTCTGGGCTCAAATGACTCTTCATTCGAGGAATTTGGCAAGGATTATTTGGATCCATACGAATGAGGAAAGCACGAATGACGTTCTTACTAAACTGTATGCTCTTTGCCCTAGTTTTGAAGTTCTGATATACTTATACTGACATGAGATAGCTCGGCTATCAACCTCATATTGGGGTTCTGCCAAGCAGTTAAGCACAAACTTCGTCATGAAATTGAAGTGGCTTATCCCGACCTCGAACCGATCATCGGCCATCTTGACACTTTCGCCAAACGTGCTCACCCTGCCAATAGATCTGCCACAGAGCACGTCCTCGGCATCACTAAACGCTCGAGTTTCCGAACCTGGGGTGGCCATCTCGGCCTCCCATTTTGTCAATCCAACCCTCAAAAGTCCATAAAAGTAGCTCGGAAGGAGGGGAGACATCACGGAAACCTTCCTTTGGAGATCATAAACCAGCTCTCCGCCTATTTCGAGCAATGTATCAAGACCAACACTCTCACGGGCCCCTGTTGGCAGTCTCAGATCTCAGCTAGCATCATGCTAATGATGGACGCCTACGGTGGCTGTGAACGTGTCCTCAGCACACCGCTCCCACTCGCATACAATATCGCTATTTCCCAAATCACTTGGCTCTATGTCCTCGTCCTTCCTTTCCAGCTCTGCGAAAAACTCAGGTGGGCAGCCATTCCCGGAACCATCGTTGCAGCATACATAATCCTCGGAATTGCCGCCATCGGACGAGAGATTGAGAATCCGTTCGGTACAGATGTTAACGATTTGGACCTCGACCGCTACTGCAAAAGTCTGCAGTTCGACCTCCACGTCCTCACCAGCTCTCCACCGCCAAAGAGCCTGGAAGTATTTCAGGACCCCATCAGCATCCCGTTGTGGCCCTACAATGACCCGTACGCCCGGTGTAAAGACCTTCCGTTGGACCAGATCCGCACAGCACTCGCGGAAAGGGTCGGGATGCAGGACATTAATACCACAGACCCGGTGGGTGGCAGTAGAAGAATCCAGGGGAACTACGGGGGCGCGTAGATGGGTGGGTAAACTTTTCATGGCTACATTCATTGGCGCTGTTGACGCGCCTATGGCTGGACGGACGGGCGCATGGATGGATGAGATTACGAAAATTATCAGACGGCTAATTTGGCGCATTACTCTATTAATTTTGCATTGCGTGGTCTTTCATTTGTCACTTAATTTTTCTCTACCCATTCTCTCTTCAGAGATATTATTTAGCGTGAGGTGCGACGTCGAGCGCTGGCCTACTTAGCTAGGGACGTTGCTGTACAGTATCAGTATGGGAGTGAAGTTTGGCTCTGTTATAGTACAGTACATCCGCACCCGATAAATTGCTTCAAATAAAATTCTTTGTGCTATATTGCACTGTACCAACTATGATACTATAGAGGAGAACGGTACTGTACTTGGCGATATTAAGTATTCGGAGCATGTGGCCCAAGGCAAGCGCTATCGCAATCAATCACATGGTATCCGGATAGGCTACAAACCGCCGAGTACAGTACTGGACTCCTGGTGAAAATTTAAAATCCTGGGATACCCCTAAAACTATAGTGAGCCCAAGACATCAATAGGATAAGAGGATTTATCAAAAATCTGATAAATTCAGCTTGGATTACAGCGTCTTAATAGCTGGGGAACTTTTTTAATCAAATTCCTAAGGCCTTAGATGGGGCGCGTTGGGGGGGGGGGTGATGGAACTCGTTAACAGAGCTGCTTTCCTAGCTGCTTTTGGCACTATCCCCCTCAGACGCCCGGATTTCTAACCTTACTGGGGGGTACAGCACCATTAACTTATCGCCCTGCTGGCTGGACGTAGCTGACCTTCCGCTCTACCCGGCAATGCTACACTGCAGTACCACCTGGCTAAAAAGGATCTCCTCGCAGTGAATCCTTGGGCATAGTGGGCTGTCTACACTTGAGTATAGGAAATCCGGCTGCACCCAGCGCGCGCCCGCCACAGTGTGAAAAAAAAAAAAACGCTAAGAGTGTCCAGTTCTGCGCTGCGGGTTCGAAATTTAATAGCATCCTGAGATCCCGCCGCCAAACCCGCTGTCAGAGGGACCCCGTCTCCAACTCGCGTGTTGTTTCTAGCGTTCCCGTGCTTACAACCCGCTTGGGTATCCCAATACCAAGGTTGTGCAAGCAACCCACAAGAAGCTCTGGAAAAAGTGTTTGTTTTTTTGGGGGGAGGGGGTAATACCCACAATCTTTGGTGGTACTGCATTGGTATTGGGTGCCAAGCCATTTCCGGATTTCCGGATATTTTTGTACTCGTAGTTCGCCAGTACTGCACGGTAGTGAGCGGGGAATTGCGGATAGGAAGGATAGAAACAGAAGTAGAAATGTTTGGCTAATTAATGAACAAGTGGGCTGGCAAGCCAACGCTATTCCTATTCTAGTTGAGTATCATGAATCTCAGCTGAATAGTCTACTATCCAACTGCCCTTTATCTGTAGAGTAGACACACACCCATTTAATTCCATCCTGTATCATCTCCGACGCCTGCCGAGACTCAATGATGGGGATTCTGGAAGCGCTCATAGGAATTCGAGCTGGACGGGGTCCGGTGGTGGCAAGCTTGTCAGACAAGTCTGGAGTTGTGTATGATTTTATCCTACCATTGAAGAGCTTAGGAAGTCGTCTGATTTGATACTCTCATACTCTGACTTAATTCTCTTCTTAAAAGCTTAGTGCTTGAAGAATATTGCCAAATTCCTTCTCCGTTTGTATATCTCGCTTCCGTGGTGGCTCGAACTTTGTTTTTAGGATTTCTGCGCAGCATCGTTAACATTTTTACCAGTTCAACTGTTGTACCCTACCGGTAGTGCCTATACTAGAGTGCGAGGGAAGGAAAAAAGGATGAAAAAAAAGGTCATAGGTACTCTGCAATGTCGCCGGGCGCAGGGAAATTCTACAAATTTACGGCTGTGGGGATAAACTTCGTCGGCTATTTGCCTGGTTAACGCTAATATTTGCATAACTAGGGCATCTCCCGTGTCTACCGAGGGTTTAATTGATAGAAGTAATAGTTCCCGGCCCTTTCCTTTCCCCTTTTTCTTTCTTCCAGGCAGTTAGAACAACCCACCTGCCACGGCTGAGTGCGAGTGATCGAATAATTGGAGACGATGGTGGGAGTGCCCCCATTGGTTAACGCGGAGAGCTAGGGTTTAAGATGGAAGGCTGCCTGCGTGGGTTGAAGGCGCGGTATACGACAATTAGGGGTGATATGCAGTGTATGTACATATCTTGCGCAGGGGGGAAAGGAACAGAACAAAGGCGAGAGGGTGTCTCAATCTCGGACCCGGGGGTTGTATGGAGGGTTTGCTGGTTTGGTACCCGTAATTGGGCTAGATGGTATGAGGGATGGAAAAAAGGGGGTGGGGGTGGACATTCTTCAGATATTGGCTCTCCTTATTAAGGCAGTACTACTAGGGCTCGTGTCCCTCAGCATCGATAGATCGTGGTATGTGATGGATAAACCTTTGATTGGTGTCTCCTGTGTCGCTCAGTTCCCACACATCTGATTTGAGTAGCGGCTCACCACCTGAGGTGAAAAGCAAGAAGCTACCGCTCATCACAGTTACTGTGTCGTAGGGAGTTGTTAACTTACTATGTATTTCTTGGTAAAGGGGGATCTGAAATCACGAGGTATCACTCATATAGTCCGTCTCTGACCCTGATCCCCTTAGTCGTCCCTTGTCATAATCTATAGTCCTACCCCTATCCCTGAAAATCACCGCCCCACCCTGTAGAGCCCGCTGCCGGAGCGAGACGGCCATTGTAGATATCGCTGCCTTGAATAGAGACTGCTAGAGAGCGTCCAGCCCCTTCCGTAGCTTTCAGCACTCTCTATCCGGTGCTCGTGGCATACTACCTTAGGAGGCTAAATTATAATATTGTGGATAATACCGGCAGAATACCGCCCTCGTGGGCTTCCGGGAATGGGAATGGAGGGCGAGGAGCTGCTACTGAAACCGAATGCCAACTCTAGCGAGACCCTAGAAATAGCCAAATGCTCTTGCTGGCCTCCAGGAACGGGCATGCGGTAATCGTGAACCGGCTGGGATGGGGGAGTGACAACCCAAACGTGTGTGCAGCTAGGAGTGGGCATTTGAGGTTGCCGGGTTAGTATATGGGGAGGGAAGCCTCCATCCTGACTTGGGAGGTAACTTTGGTCGAACTGGACCCCCATTAGCTGTTGGTGGTAGATGTATGATAGCTGTGAGGTTGCTGCCGGACCGAGAGAACACCGACTCCGACGCAAAGATAGCTTTGGTCATACACTATTTCAACTGGGGGCTGAGAGAGGTGTTAAACTAAAGGTCACGCAGAGAGAGAGAAGATGTTTGTTCGATTTTGTTTCTTAGTACAGAGAGAGAAGGAAGAATCGCATCGCCGGAACTATTTGTTCCTCAGAAGAGAAGGCAACATGACGCGGCAGAGTATCCCCAGTTGTGCGACCCCTTGGCGTAGTCCTAGGTCTGGATCTTCTCGTTTCCACCCACCAACACTTTCCTCATTTCTAACACCTTCCGCCCTGCATAATATACCCCATAAGAAGATTATGCCAAACAAAGTAAGTCCTCCCAGGTATCATCGGGCACCAGTAAAACCCCTCCTACAAATTGTCTCAGAGGGGAAAGGTATACCCTCCACCTTCTATGCACCAGTAAAGATAAGGAAACAAAACCGTAGATAAAAACAAAAAAGAGAAGAAAAAGAACTGTTATTCTAGTCCAAGTTGCTTTATAAACTCCAAGTGCCTCACTGCATTTAAGCCTTTTGTGAAACCATCTGCCTTGTTGTGCTCGCTCGGAATATAGGTAAAGTCTAGAACGTGGTGTGCCTGCAGTTCTCGTGACTTGAGGAGTCGAATATCGAAGTGCTTGTTTCGAGTTGTAATTGCTTCGCCCTTGACATTTGCAATTGCACATTCACTATCACTGTATACTGTAACACAGCCATGTGAGTATACAGGATAGGGTGATAGGCTTGGATCCATAGTAGTGTCCATTTCATTATCAAACACAGTAGTTAGCACAGGTTCTAAAGACTTTGAAAGGGAGTTGGGGATGTAGTTAATGTCTTCTAATAGTTGACGAAGCCATAAGACTTGTCTTGAAACTTCCAAGAACGCACTAAACTCAGCCTCAGTCGTAGATGTAGCAACAATAGATTGTCGTTTTGATTTCCATGAGACCGGTGCACCAAGGTAGAAGATATAACCACTGATTGATTTCCGGTCCTCAGGATTACTTGCCCAATCTGCATCAGGGTAGGCACATAGTGGATGGTAGCCCAAATTGCTTGTCTGATTTTCTTTCCGGAATACAAGACCAAGATTCTTGGTAGATTTTAGGTAGCGAAGGACTCTCTTTGCTGCTGTCATATGCGTACGGCGGGGATCATGATTGTATTGACTGAGTTTTGTGACCGCAAAGGTAATGTCCGGCCGTGTTCCTAGTGATGTGTACATTAATGAACCTACAATACTCAAATATTCCCTCTGATCTACAGTGTTATCATTCTCTGTAGCCAAAGCGTGGAGGGGAGTATCTTTAGCTAAGGGGGAGGAGACACAGTTAGCATTCAGGAGACCAAAACGATTCAGGATAGTTGTTATGTATTCCGTTTGACTGAGTCGGTAGTCACCACTGGCTAATTGAGAGATCTCTAGTCCTAGGAATCGTCGAGCTGCTCCTAAATCAGTTATTTGATACCTGTTACTTATCTGCGCAAGAACTGTTTGAAAAATCTTATCGTCTCTGTAAGCTATCAACATATCATCAACATAGAGGAGAAGGAATAATGCATCTCCCATAATGTATAAATTTGGTTCCGCTACTGATTTAGTGAATCCAATTGACTTAAAAAAGCCATCAATATTCTCATACCACAGTCGTGGTGCTTGCTTTAGGCCATAGAGTGCCTTTTTCAGTCGAACAGCCTGTACTGAGCTAAGCTTCGGTTCCACTTTGTCAATTCCAATTGGAAGTTGCATAAAGATATTGTCTTGATCAATCACTGGGTTAAGAAATGCGGTAACGACATCAAGGTGATGAAGTTTCAAGTTTCGTTGACTAGCAAGGACTAGAAGAATTCGTAGAGCTTCTAATCGTCCTACAGGTGCATAGGTTTCCTTGTAGTTGATTCCATATTGCTGCTCGTATCCCTTAATAACAAGCCGTGCTTTGTATCGGGTCGTACCATCAGGATTCTGCTTGGTTTTAAATACCCACTTGGATCCAATTGGCTGACTGTTGAAGGGCAGACTAGTTACGGGATCCCAAGTATGGTTTCT